TAAAATAAACGTCTACGTGAAACTCCTGAGGCCTAAGTGCTTTGTGAAGGATCTTCCTCGGCCTTTTTTCTCTTTTTATTTAAAAAACAAACAAAAAACAAAAAAAGTTCTCCAGCATGTCTCATCCATCCCTTCCAAATGTCCCAATCTTTATCTCCAGCTCAGAATCTTCTTTTCATCTCCCTCCATCCTTATTCCAAGCATCTAACACCTAGCTCCACCAAGTGGTTCCAAAGGCATCTCCAACTCAGTATGAGTTCCAGAGTCTTCTAGCCTTCTCCTGAATGTCCTGTTTCTGTGAATGATATGCTCTTCTCTGCTACTTAGCGCTGTATCCCACGTGATCTTTGCCTCCCCCTCCTCCATGTTTCTCAGAACCCATTCATTCTGCTTCTTCAGACCAAACACTCACGGCCTTGTGTATTGTTGCAATAGTCTAACCAGGGTTCTCCTTCAGCTTCTCCCTCACTACACCATGAGGCCATGTTCAACTTCTAAAACCAGGATTTTAACTGTTCTTTTCTCTCTGAAAACTTCTCATTGTTTACTATCTCAAAGGTAAATAAATTCCAAGCCTCTCCTCGTGGTAATTCCAGAGTCTCCATTAGCAATCTGTCTTTTTCCTGTTATTCCTAGTTTTTTGCATGCTACTCTATCTAACAATTTAGATTCCATATTTGCTGTTCCAAATAATGTCCAGGGCTCCCGTTTCAGTCTCTGGGTCACACTGAACCTCTGACTTGAGTGCCCTTTCTCCCAACCGTTCTCTAGTCTCCAACCACCACCCACCTCACCACTCAAATGCTGTCCTGAGCCTCTCCTAATAATGTCAGCTAGCAGCAACCTCTCCCTGTCTCTCCTCAACCTCGCAGGACCTTTCTTTTGCCTAAGCAATGACTGTCACTATGTTTCTCAGACTGTCCTGTCTTGCAGAAATTATTTTTCGTCTTCATGAGAATGTAAGCATCTTAGAAATAGTATCTACTTCAGAAGCATATATGTATTTATTATAATATGTGTGTGATGTGTATGTGTGAAAGCAGGCACATGCATGCCACCATGCACTTGTGGAGGTCAGAGGACTATTTTCAGGAGTCAGTTATCTCCTTCCAGTTTGTTAAGGTGAGGGTCCCCCCTGTCTCTGCCTGTCTCTGTCCCCATCTCACCCGAGGAGTGATGGAATTACAAATGAGTGCAACCATGTCTGCTTTTTGGGTTTTTTTGTTTTGTTTTGTTTTGCTTTTTTACAGACAAGAGTCTCACTCTATAGCCCTTGCTACCAAGCAATGCACTGTGCTGACCAAGCTGTGCTCAAACTCACAGAGATCAGCCTGCCTCTGCCTCCCAAATATGAGGATTAATGACATGTGCCATTATATCTGACCTGGTAGTTTTTTTGTAGGGTTTTTTTGTTTGTTTGTTGTTTATTTTGTTTTTCTTTTTCTTTTCTTTTTCTTTTTTTTTTTTTAGACAGGGTTTCTCTGTGTAACCCTGGCTGTCCTGGAACTCACTATGTAGAACAGGCTGGCCTCAAATGCACGGAGATCTGCCTGCCTCTGCATCCTGAGTGCTGGTATTAAAGTCATGCACCCTGCCTAGGTTTCTTTTAAATGTGAGTTCTGGAGATCAAACTCAGGTCATCAGGTTGCACACCAAATGCTTTTATCCACTGAAACATCTTACCAGAACCTCAGTATTTTTGAAACACTGTAAAACTACTATTGATGTGAATATCACATTTGTACATAAGTATCTAAGTACTGGATAAATTAATAATAAATAACAATATAAATCCTGCTTGGAAGAATCAATCATATATGAATATTGCTGATCAATAATTAATCAACATCTCCACAATACGCTCTTAAGTATTGTGCTTACTTTCGTGAAGTATGAGATGGGGCAATGTCATTGTATACTACATGGTCATCATGACTTTCATTTGCACAAAGTGAATAGATTAATTTTCAAAATAAAAGGTAGTCTTTTATAGAGTTGAAATTTGTGGCTTTCAACGGCTGAAATAAGCTCAGTAAAGCAGCCAAAAACCCAGGCAGTTGATCACTGAGCAAAAATCTAATAGAGCTAGAAGTCTAATTGTACATTGATGAAGTCATCAGCAATAAAAGTCACTCAGAGCCGGGCGGTGGTGGCGCACGCCTTTAATCCCAGCACTCGGGAGGCAGAGCCAGGCGGATCTCTGTGAGTTCGAGGCCAGCCTGGGCTACCAAGTGAGTTCCAGGAAAGGCGCAAAGCTACACAGAGAAACCCTGTCTCGAAAAACCAAAAAAAAAAAAAAAAAAAAAAAAAAGTCACTCAGAATAGTCACAATAACAAATGCTCGGCATGCCAAGTCTCCTGCTTGGGAAATTGGGGGAAGCAGGTAACATTTCACATCCATTTGTTTCATACTAGGTTGCAGAGGGTTTAACTGGCTGGTAGCCTCTGGAACAGTAGCAGTAGAGCGCTATAAAACTTAAAGTTGGCAATATTGAAACTAAATTATTCCCAGAGTATTTCAGTAATGCTTATATATTACTATCAAATTAGTAAAGGAATAACAATCTACTGCTGATTAGTGCCTTATAAGAAAAAAAAGCCACTCCTATCTTAAAATAGGATCATGCCTATAACATTATAAAATTACCTTCCCTTCCCACCTGCCTTGACTGATGGGAGAGAGGCATCACATTGCCTCCAAGTGACAAAACACTGGTATTCCTAAGCAACACTTGCATAATCCCTGTGTTGTCCAAACACTTTAGAAGTCCAACCTCAACCCATAGCTTCCACTGTTTGATTACTAACCCCAAGAGAAAATCAACACAAACTGGCAGCCAGCGACACTAGGGGGGTATTGCTGGGTTTGGCCGACACTGAGTCACACATCCTGTGCATCTCTCTGTGAGCTACTCCTGGAGAAGGATAGGGAGCATCACCCCTGGGGGAACTACACTAATGATGGGTCTCACTTCTGGCTGGCTGTCCTGAAGCTGCCTCCGAACCTCAGGACTTCAGAATGCAGAGGACAAAGCTTGCTTAAGGAATTTCCTACTTAAGAAAATGCTACAGTGATTTGGTTAAGAGTGCAGAAGCCAATCTCAAGTTGTCTGGGTTCCAATCTTGGCTCTGTCTATCACTTAGTAGTTAGGAGAATTTGAATAGTTCATCTCCTTAAACGTTCATCTTCCCTTTTGTAAAAAGAAATTACTATGGGATGTCTTTGTTATGACATCTTATTAAGTGAAATAGTGTCTCTGAGGCACTGAACAAAATACTTGCACAAGCAATAGAGAATTGGTTCACAGAGGTTTACAGAATTTTGTGACCAATGTCTAGATTGCATCACATACACACACACACACACACACACACACACACACACACACACACTTGCCAAAAAAAAAAAAAAAAGAACCTAAAATTTTAAAAAGTGATTCTAAAAACCCAAGCTTGTTTGTTGCCTGGTTGTTTTTTCCCAAAGAACTATTTATAAAAATTACAACAGCAATGTTGGCAAAGTCATGTATTCTTCCTATGCACAAAGGGAAGCCCAGCACAACAGCTGGGAACAACGTGTTTTTCTTCAACCAATGTACCTGAACTCACACATCAAAAAAGAAGACTTTTAATCTTCAAAGGGATCACCTCAGGAAGCCGTGCACTTCCAATAGCGTGGCCAAATACTTTCATAATCTCCCCTCTGCATCAGCCCCTGGCTTGGCCTCGGATTCTTCCAGGTGCCTTTGTTGGCAACAAAATTTTATGCACTGAGAATTTTCAGTTTTGAAAGTGGATTTAAGACAAACTCATGAATAAGATGGAGAATAATATCACCTCAGATTTTTTTGTTTGTTTGGTTGGTTGGTTGTGTTTGTTTTTTGCTTTTGTGTTTTTTCGGTTTTTAATGAGAAAATAAGACTTTTTTTCTTTTAACTTGGATAACCAAATATATCGATTCCAGCCAGTGCATCTCTAGGGCATTTTGGATAAATAGAAACACTGTCAGCATGAGCCAGTTGCTTTCTATATGAATACTAATATTACGTAGTTATTTATTGAATTTTACTGAACAGACACCTCTGGAGCCCTAAGAACTTTCACGGGTACTAGTTTATCCTGTGTCCACGTCTTACAAGGTAGGGACTTTCAGTTTCCCCATTTCACAGTTTAGGTCCTTGAGGAGCCATGGAATTTTTTTCTAATGACATAGAACAGAGAAATGGAAGAGTCAGAAGCCAAACCCAGGCTGCCTGTTGAGCATGTTTACCGTTTGCTAGAAAACAGAACCTACCAGCAGTAACGACGCTGCTCTTCTGTTCTGGGATCGATTGTAAGGTTGTTTGATCGCTTGGTTCATTGACTCATTCACTGAGGTACTGGGTTTAAATTTGGTGGAAAATATATCTTGCCGTGCATTGTTATTGTTCACCTCAGCTGACGGAGAGTGACAGAGTAACCTCTAAGCTCCCTTTCTTCATTGTCTTGCGTGTGACACCAGGAGGAAGCCACCCCACTTTCCAGCTTCCTCACTCTCCGTGGATCCGGCCCCTGGCTGTCTTTCCTGTTTTCCACATGTGTGGGCCTTTCACCCAGCAACGTCTTCAGCCTGTGCCAGGAGCAGTCCCCTTCCGCCTGTTTCAAAACTCCCTCCTTAAAACTCACCTTTTTTCCATTACTTCACTCCTAAGTCTATATCACCAGCCTGATGGTGAAGGGAAAAACAGGGAGAAGAGAAAGAAGGTAGTGAAACTTTTCCTCTCCGCTAAAACACATTTTTTGTCACTGCCACACACACACACACACACACACACACACACACACACACACACACCACCAACTTTTGTCTCCTTTGTTGTAACACACAAGTTTCCAGGGTGGCTTCTTCCCAAGGCCAACAGTGTATCGCTGCCTATCCCTTCAGACAATGACAGCCTCCAGATCTCACCCCTATGTAAACTTTTAAAATTAATTCTGCTTGAACTTTTCTTTAATTTCAGGATAAAAGAAAAATCCAGGAAGAAATCTCACAAAAGCGTCTGAAAATAGAGGAGGAAAAATCGAAACACCAACATCTAAAGGTATCATCTGACTTCCGTTTCCTTTCAACGGTCTTGTGTTCAAACAGCCTGACAGCATTTCCAAGCCCACCACCATAAAGATGCTTTAGGAGAGAAAGGCTTCCCAGGTTATCTCAACCACCATTCTAGTCACCTGAGAAGAGGCCAGTAAGCCACTGATAATTGCATCTGAGATTAATACCTTTTGGCAAACCGAAGGAAAGTTGGGAACACAGTTTTATTGCGTCTATGATTGGATGCAGGGTTTCCAAATCTTCCTCAGCAACCTTGAGAAGTCAGCCTTGAGAATTTGGCCCTGGTATAGCCTTGCTTAACATCCCTGGGGAGTGGATCCAGCTAGGAAGTTCCTTTTGAAATCAATGAAAGGCCAGCCCTTCCCCAGGGGCTACAGAGCAGACACTGTCTCGCCTGGTCAAGGATGCCTGTGTTCCAAAGCTCCCTGCAATGAGTCCAATGTTGTTTGCATATGGTTGGGTTTCTATTTTATTTTGTTTTGACAGAACATGAGATCATAACTATAAATAAGTCTCCATTTGAAAACTCAGACTTTACATCTTCCACAGGGTGTGGTCATTCTGTAATTAAAGCACATAGGGTTTCAACATTGTATTACGTAGTTTGGTCAGAGGATCCAAGTAAAGGACAAACAGGAGCTCCTTGTGAATAGGCCCAAGCAGGAAACTGTTCTTATCTGGCAGGGCTGCTATCAATAGATCGAACGAGTTCTCTCAATGAACAATGCCACACAGTCAAAACTCTCCCAACTTAAACTTGCCAGATTCAGCTACATCCACTTCTCTAATGGAAAAAAATATTGACCTCTGAAAAGGCACATCATTCAGGACTCTGGTTAGCCTCTGTCCTCAGTATTCTGTTGATTACTGTATTCCTATCGAAGGTGGTATTTCCACTGTTGGATGGATGACTGAAAGTCATAGTTAACCTGCTATTCTTACAAAATATCACACTGAATTTATGTTGAATAGTAGACACACTCAAGAGATACAATGTGCACACCCAGAAAAATCGATGAGATTAAAAACAAAGCTTAGCAATTCAAATGAAGTCAGTCAATTCTCAAATGTTCGAGATAGATTCAGAATTATTGGCTCCCCTCCCATTCCCTCTCAAACACACATACACAATTTGAGTCCTGCTAACAAGAGTTTGCTACTCCAGAGTAAAACGACACATCTCTGGCACTCAAGGACTGCGACTTGTGCAGCATGGAAGGCCATGTAACTGCCGAGCTCACAATAACCAAAGGGGTCTGAATATTCCCTCAGCTCTTTTGAGGAAGTAAGTTTCACACAGGAAAAGGTTGACTCCCTCAAAGATTCATTTCTGAGGTGGCCTTGGTGGCAGTCTGTGTCAAAAACAGTCCCAACAAGAATGTATAATCTCTCCTATTCACGTGTTTTCTGAAACCAAGGAGCATCTTCTAACCCAGTCAATGTGTGTACTGAGCTTTGGATGACTGTCCACCATTGTGCAGACTGTGTAGTGCACCCTGCAAATGAGCCACTGAAAACCCACCCACGCCCCCTTGCCCGCTGTGCCCTCTACCCAGGGCCTGCCTCTACCTGAAGCAAGAGGTTTTCATTTTTTTCTGCTCCAAGGTGTTCTCTACTTTCCTTCAAGGACCTAAAAGGGAGGAGATGAGGAGAAGGGGGAAATAACATGTCCTACTTTGAGAAATTAAAGATTAAATTTAAGAAGACAAATTAAATGGTGGTGTTCCTATTTAGACAATAGACATTAACTGTGCAATATGAGGAGGTCAAAGAAAATTTTTATAAAGATGTGGGTTTAAAGTAGAGAGCCTTAGATGGTAAGTAGAATTGACCGAGGTACACGTAGGACCTTTCAGTGAACATAGCACCTATTACTTTCAAGGTGCTATACAAGACCTTAAAAATATAACAAAGCTTGCCCTGTGCCTTTTGAAATAACTGACACATGGCTCCTAGTGGCATTTGTCCTGTGATGAACACTGTGCTGGGCGCAATGACTGCAGAGGAAATACAGGGCAAAGAGTGGCTATTTCAACATTCTTCCAAGTTTGCAGAAATTACTGGCTATTCCAACAGAAACCAGGCCCAATTCCAAAACCAGTCTCAAAAATGTGTAAAAGTATTTTTAAAATCGATTTCATGCTATTTTGCCTAGTCTTGAAAGTTCTATTACCTATTTTCTTTTCCATCCAGCTGTCCTGGCTCCCATGACTCTTCGCTGCTTCCCTAATTGCAAGCTAGTTTATTACACCACAATGGTACACATAGACATTTGCAATCTTCTCCTCCTGTACCACACACACACACACACACACACACACACACACACACACACACACACACACACACCAGAATGGTTGGAATACTCACTGTGATCATTATCTCCTGATGCTTGGACCCACAATATGCATGCAAATTTCCATGGGCATTCATTACATTACAATCAAATGATTCTGAAATATGTATACTGCAGACCTCTTTGCCTGTAATAGCATTCATCAGGAAAAACAAATTAAAGTCAATATAGAATTTTTTCTTTTCTATAAGTCCATTCAACTCACCATAAGAAAAAAAATTTTATTCCAAGTCTGCTATAATTGCTGAGTGCAATATAGTAACACTTCAGGAGACCTTTCTATAAAAACTGACAAATATGGCTTGTATGTTACTATATCACTTTATTTTCATTTAGTTACTTGAGCCTTTGGTTCTATTATCTGCCTTTGTGGTGATGGCGATTAAACCCAGGGCCTTATACACACTAGGCAAGCAGTCCCCAGTGAGCAACACCAGCAGCCCATACTGCTTTTGATTCTGAACTTCATTGTCATGAACTAGTTAACCTGGTGGTATCACAGATTACTGTCTGGCTCATCTAGCTTAGTATCACCGGACTGCACCATCTGAGTGTTTCTTAGATCAACAGGCAAGCAAATGGCACTGTCCTTAGGCATGATTCATAAAGACTAGAACTTACTGATGTGTAAGAATGGATTTGCAAGTAAATAAGATTTAAAGGGCAAAGAAGATGACTCCCTTGGTTAAGTGCTTGCCAAAGAAGCACAGAGACCTAAGTTGAGATCCCCAGCACACATATATGAATCCAAGCACACCCGTGTACACTCCTAATCCTAGCTCTGAGGAGGTGGAGACAGGGGCTTGCCGTCAACCAGTCTGGCCAAATCAGTGAGCCAAATCCTGTCTCAAAGCTAAGGTAGAGAGCCAGCAAGATGACTTACTGAGGAAAGCTGCTTACTGCCAAGGCTGGTGACCTACATTCAGTCCTGGGACCCATGTAGTGGGAGGAGAAAACCAGCTCCTGCCGGTTGTCCTCTAACCTCCACGTGCATCAGCACACGAGGCATGCGCACCATCTGTGTACACAAAATAAGTAAAATGCAATTTGAAAAATACCAAGTTGGAGAGTGAGAGAGGAAGACACCGGCAGTGACCTCTGACCTCCACATGTACCAACAAATGTGCACATGTATAGTCACATGCACAAGTATATACACACACAAGCTTGTATACACTCATACACCACACACACACACACACACACACACACACACACACACACACACACACACACACACACAAGATTTAAATGTCTAAAAACTAGCTTCAGAAAAGAGCCTACAGGTTTCGCAGAAGGAAAACACCAAATTCATGGAGACAGGATAACAGGAGAAAATGTGTGCTCTTTACCATGCCCACTATTACAATTCATGACATTTGAAGGCAACAAGAGATTTTTGAAACTGTTGATATATATAAGGAAGTAAATGTCCTCTTTACTACACATTAACTATCCTCAAATTCTATCAATAAAAAAATAAATTAAAATCTAGGTAAATTCTTACAATGCTGATCAGTTTTCTTAGTGTCTTAACCCCCAGGACTCAAACATGGGCCTATATTATTATTGATCACTGGGTCTGAAGAGGGACCAGTTTTGTAAACAGCTAATCAGCTATGATTATGAAGGTTTTGATTCACTGGGGAGACCCTCTGGCCCCAGAACAGTAACACAAACTGCTCTTGTGGTGTGTGTTAGCCAGATGAAATGACTGCAAATTCTGAAAGGATCAACAACACGTGATGATGTAGGGCTCTTACTTCATCTAGTGGTCTGTAACCCAGGTTCTGCGGCATCTGTTTTCAGACCTCCTTACTCTAACGGATTTTTACATGATCATACTGGTTATCTGCAGTTATTGTAATATTGATTTGGTTTCTTTTTAAAGAAGAAAGGGGCCAAGGAGTTTACAAAAATGGAAAGATGCCAGATTTATTGAGCTAAGTCAGTGGGAAAAAAATAATCCCTCTTTAATATGTCCACTGTTGCCATTCATAAGACTCACAAGTAATAAGAGATTTGGGGAATTGTTGGCAAATATAAGAACATACGTTTATATTTCCTGACATCAGAAAAAAGCCTTGAGGGAGAAATGGCTCCTGGATGGAATCAGCAGTGGAAAAGAACAGGAAGAGATGAAGAAGCAAAATCAGCAAGACCAGCACCAGACCCAGGTTCTAGAGCAAAGCATCCTCAGGTACGCCCTTTCTGGGGTACTTCTCCAATCTCCCTCCCTAAAAGGGAGCTGGTGGTCATGAAGAAAACTGGAAAGTTTAAGTATTAGATGGGATTATTAGTGATTCCACAAACACGGGTATCATGGGAGAAAGATGTAGGGGAGGGGAGAAGTTATTTTCCAACCTATACACAGAAGATAGATGGCAAGTTTTCCTTTTATGTGTGTGTGTGTGTGTGTGTGCATGTATATATGTGTGTGCACAGGTATGCTCACACATAGCTATCCTATGTGTGATAGAAGCCAAAGGCTGATGTTGGCATGCCTTTCTCCATTGCTTCTTCCATTATTTTTAAATATTTTATTAATTTTTGAGAGTTTTATATAATGTATTTTGATCATACTCACCCCCAAGTCCTCCCAGATAAATCCCTTCCTCCCTACCCCCAGAACTTCATGTCCTCTTTGTTGTTGTTGTTGTTGTTTTAAATAAGCCATGGGCTCCAACATGTGCTAACCTGGGTGTGGGGACCTCCACTGAAGTGTGGTCAGATGGCCAGAAGCTACACCTTTACAGAATACTGAATCTCCTCACAAAAACCACAAATTGCCCGCAGCTTATCATTTAGGGCTGTGAGCTTATAGTTGCGTTCCCATTCCATGCTAGAATGTTGACCAGCTTGACCTTGTGTAGTCTTGTGCCTCAACTGCTGGGTTCAACATGTCTTGGTCCTTGGAACCTGACTGGGGACAGTGAGGAAATGAAGAAAGAACAGACGCACATACAGAAAGGCTGGAATCAGGAGGGTTGTGTGTGTTCTGAAGGAGCTGCATCAACTGCCAGAACAGCCTGGAACCTCAGCGTGTCTATTATGTGCTGCATAGAGGGAGCATTTAGCTGGTCTTGATTGGAGGTGTCTGGAGGTGAGCAGTCTCTGGCTGTAAACATCCAGCAGCAGGAAGCTACAGTTGCTAGTTTTTGAACACACTGATCTATCATTTGCAAACACTCCAACTTGTGCCACAGGAAAGCTTTGCCATTTTAAGCCTGAGCTGTATGGACAAGGTTTTACCTATTTTCCATGGGTCTGAGGCATTGGTCCTTGACATGGATGTGTCCTTCATCTGCTCTTTACATATTTAGTCTGGGCTTCCTCAGCTCCCCAAAGGCTGTCATGTGCTCATGAACACATGATCCTGTCATGTCCAGAGATGCTGTTTAACTCCAACCTTCCCCAACATCTGGCTCTTGCAATCTTTCCAACCCCTCCTTCTTGGTCAGTGTTTCTATTGCTGTGATGAAACATCATGACCAAAATAACCTGGAGAGGAAAGGGTTTAATTGGCTTACACTTCCACAACATTATTCATCATCAAAGGAAGTCAGGATAAAAACTCAAACAGGGCAGGATCTTAGAGGCAGAAGCTGATGCAGAGTCCATGGATGGGTGCTGCTTACTGGCTTGCTCCTCATGGCTTGCTCAGCCTGCTTTCTTACAGAACCTAGAACCACTAGTCCAGAGATAGCACCACCCACAGGGGCTGAGCCCTTCCACATCAATCACTAATTAAGAAAATGTTGTACAGGTTTACCTACAGCCTAATCTTATGGAGGCATTTTCTTAATTGTGTTTTTCTTCTCTCAGATGATTTTAGCTTGTGTCAAGTTGACATAAGCCTATTCAGCACACTTTCTTCCTTCATGGTCCCTGAGCCTTGGGAAGAGGATGTAGTATAGATGTGCTATTTGTGGCTTAGCACTCCATAGACACTTATTCTCTGCACTATGACCAGTTCTGAGTGTCCTCATTAACCACTATGTGCTGTACAAAGAAATTTCTCTAATATAGTCTAAGATTTGCCCTCATCTATGGGTAGAGAGACACACACTTTGAAGACAATTTGATACTGTCAATTTTAACAGAATATAGTAATTAGTTCAACCCTGGGATCTGTGAGCTCCCCAACCATGGGTTCTTAGCCACATTTACAGTACCAAGCATGAATTTCCCCCTGTGGAACAGGTCTTAAATCCAATCAGAAGGTCATTGGTCCATCCTTATTTTTTGAGACAGGATGTTTCACAGAACTTATAAATCAGGATGTCTCACAGCATCAGCTAGGCTACTGACCACTAAGCTGCTGGGATGACAAGTGTGTACCATCATGCCCTGCTTTTAAATAGATGCTAGGGACTTGAACTCAGGTCCTCACGCTTGTGAAACAAGCACTTTATCCACTAACCCTCCCCCCAACCCCCCAAAGATGGAATGTCTTGTGGTTTAATCATGACGATAATTTGAAGTCTATTCCTCTTTGAAATATAAGGAACTTCCAGGACCTCATTAAAAGGAGAAGAGTGGGGAAGGGCTAAGCAGGAGGTGTGGTGTGAGAGTCTTCAGCAGACCTGCTGGACCACATTCTCCCCATGCTCACCAGAGAAGACAAACAGATCTCATTAGTCCTAAAATAAACAACTCGGGAGAAAAGCCTTTTTTTTCTGATGACTTCCACTGCACTTGCTCATTTACATGCATTTTATATTTAGTAGATTATACTCTTGGCTGTGCTACCTTGCTTAGGTGGCTTTAAATGAACAACTCTTAAACAGTAATGTAATTGAGATTTTTTTAATTCTATTCCCCTCTAACACTAGGTCTTAACAATAGATAATAAACATTGTCTTAAAAACCAAGAAACAGGGCTGGAGAGATGGCTCAGGGGTTAAGAGCACTGGGTCCTGAGTTCAATTCCCAGCACCCACATGGTGGCTCACAACCATCAGTAATGAGGTCTGGCTCCCTCTTCTGGCCTGAAAGGATACATGCAGACAGAACACTGTATACATAATAAATAAATAAATCTTAAAGAAAAAAAAGAAAAAAAGAAACAGCAAGAACCAACTGCCTCTACAGTTGACTACTCCATCCCTTAGGAAGCCTCCTTTAGCTAAGAGTCCATCCAGCTTAAGCTGGTGATGTCTTTCTCCATTCCCCTACACAGAATCCTTATCTCTAATGACTCCCAGGCTAATCCCCATAAACCTCCCCACCATGCTGACACCACCTCAGAACCTCCTTTTCCGGCCTTTCCACATATTGAACACCTACAACTCTCCCTGAACCTGATGATAATTGAAGTGGCTATGTACAATCAGGGTGCAGGGGCAGGTCTACGTAGCAATTCTTTGTAATCCCAGAGTATTTACTAGGATTCTCTGATTGCCTTTCAGCTTTGCCTGAATGCTCCAAGAAGCACATAGCTTCTAGCCATAGTGATAGTGGCTGTCTAGACAGAGCTCCTGTCTCAGCAAGAATTTTAAAGAGGGAGGAGATGTTTAATGAGGTATAGAGGATATGCTGTCCCCATTCGGTCTTAATAACCTTTAGAGAAAGACATCCATCACCTTTTGCAGAGAGATCTGAAAAAAAGCAGACAGACAGGTATTCTCTCATCCAACTCTCTCAGTGACTACAAAATGTCACACAGCAACCTCTAGAGACTCAAAAGCTCTGTCACAGAAAGGTATTTTCTCTCATAGGAAGACTTTAGTGGTGTTTGTCCCTTTGTTCTTAACAGAAAACCCGCCCACCTCCCTCTATTCTCTTTATCAAATTGTCACTCATATGCCCTGTTTCCGGCATCTCGCTGTAACTTAATTTTGGCCTTTCAGGATGCTGTTAAGCCATCAGGGCTCCTTTTTTTTTTTTTTTTTTGGTTTTTCGAGACAGGGTTTCTCTGTGTAGCTTTGCGCCTTTCCTGGAACTCGCTTTGGAGACCAGGCTGGCCTCGAACTCACAGAGATCCGCCTGGCTCTGCCTCCCGAGTGCTGGGCAGGGCTCCTTTTTGAGCACCAGATGAATTTAGTCCACTGATAGAAATAATAATAATAATCATTCTTTGAAAAGGGCGTCCTAAAATTTATGAAGTATTTGCCCAGACATGAACTCTTTTAACAGTCACAGTAATCCTGAAAAGAAAACACTAATAACTCCATGCCATAGATGAAGAAATGGGCTCAAAGAAGGTATGGGACTTTGTGCCCAGCCACGGGGCCCACAGAGAGCAGGCCAAGCTCTAAAGTCAGAGCTCTGCAGCTAGAAAAGGAAAAGAAAACTTTAAGTAGAAATGTTTTGGAAGCAATGATACTGTTGATGTGGGCAAGTATCTTGAATAATCAACAAACAGCTCTTTTCAAGGAACTATCCTAAAGAGATGTATTTGCAAGAAGTTCGTAAAGAATCTACATCTTTGTTGGCCTTTAGAGGCGTGTTTATCTTGTTTTTTTAAATATGTACAAGAACAGAATGTTCTGAAACAAAACATGAATGTGAATAATATGTGTGCCTTGTCTATATTTCAGCAGCCCAGCAAGTGCTCTGCACTGTTTAATCACAATGCCAAGCAGCTTAACCTAGCCGCTGGACAGTTTTTTTTTCTTAGATATTTCTAAAGCTGCTAAATAATCAGGTGCATGTTTTTCAATTCAATCTTCTGCCTAAATAATTACCACAGCGCTTAAGAATCTTTTATTACCAATGAAATCAGTAGGCTCCTGCTAGGTCTCCATAGCCAACTGATACAGTGAAACGAAGCAAAGCTGTGCCTCCTTCCCTGAGCAGAGAAAGAATCCAAGTGCTGCCTGTGATTTATCACTTAGGTGCCTGCCCAGGAGTGACATTTGTCGCTCTGCCAGGCCCCTCAGCAAAAGGATAAGAGTTAAACGGGAACATCAAAATAGAAATGATGCCATTACCTCAGAGTTCGCAACAAGGGCAGACCCCGCCTGGGAAGTGTTCATTCCTTCTATGTTCATGGTTTTGTGACAGTTTGCCTTCGGCTTCTTAATCTCTTCCACTACCCACAGTCTGTGAGCTCGGCTAGTCTGCTTGTACCGCTCTCAGCCTCAGTTTCCTTGCTTGCCAGTTGGGACAACTGGAGCCACATCACAGGACTCTGGGGAATACAGTGATTTCCCTGACACACAGTAGGGGATTAATATAAATATATTGAGAGATATA